ACAGCTTGCTGCTCCTCCCCACTGTCCCATCACCACCCTTAGCCTCACTGGAAATGCACCCTCAGTTCTCTGTGGGGCAGGTGGGCAGGTTCTCATGCTGGGTTCTGCTGCTACACTCTAGCACAACTCCTGATGGAGGAGGCAGAGCAGAAGAGGAGAAACATGGTGGACCTTGGAATCAAACTAACCCGGGTTATAATCGTCGGCCTGCCACTTATTAGCTGTGTTATCTTGAGCAAATTGCTGAACCTCTCTGATTCTTAGTTTCTTAATATATAAAACAGAAACAATGAGACCCATTTCATAGGGGTTAAGTCAGATAGCATTTGAAATGCACCTAGCATAGTATCTGATACTCAGTGGGCAACCTAGAAATATCTGATGAATGAAAGAATGAAGACTCGTATATTAGTTTTCTTTCTTTCATGAGCATGGCCAGGGCAGATAAAATATTTCAGTGCGGTTCAGAGACAGTTGGCGTTTTCAGTTACACAAATAATTGGAGCGTTAACCTAGCAGAGGCTCTTCAATAATTTGCACCAGGTACAACGATAACTGGACCCAGTCAGGTTGCTTCCCTTCTCTGCGCCTAGGTTTTCCTTCCTGTAAAATGGGCCAGGTTAGACTGAAACACCGGCTGAGGCAGAATGAATAGCATCCAAAGAGCTGACTGGCTAATGACCCACCTAACCCTTTACTGACCAGGCTGGAGAGGCAGCAAGAAGGGCCTTGAAAATGGGTTAAAGAAGGAGCCGCTGGAGACCAAACATTACTAAATACTTTTCCCTTTTATGGGTAGGCGCTCTAGATCACTGCTTCCTGGAGATTGTATTCTAAACTTTGCTGAGATGGATGCGAGGTCCGTGTGCCCACGAGCTCCAACGGAACCCAGATGTCACCCCCGGGGAGGGACTCTGCTTTTACCTTGCTATTTTAAGCAGCGAGTTTATAATAATGGATGGGAGAGAAAGCAGACTGGGCAGGAGCAGCGTGGGAATGGCCCCGGCAGGGGCGGCTGCTGGGGCTCCCCCTGAGGAGCTCGGGGTTCCGTCTTGTCAAGTGTGGGACCTCAGCCAGCCTCTACTCTGCTTTATCCTGCAGCAGCTGACATTTCTTAGTGCTTGTCTGACTTAATTCATTTCTGTTTTACTTTGTCTTCTGACCCGGGGACTGGCTCTTTGGTCTTTCTTGAGGAGTAGGCGGTGGAGAAAAGGAAAGGAAGTGGAGATATTTATGAAATGACTGTGGAATACCGTGATCCCAGAATCCTATGGGATGGAGCCATCAGATCTGTGGTTTGTGGTGACTGGGAAGAGTCCGGGATCTTAGGGACTTCTAGGATTGGAAAGACTACTGAAGCGGGTTAGCAATCCCGTGACCCTTGCCCCAGCCTTTGCTGGAACTCTCCCTGGAATAGGGAGCAGGCCCCTGCATCTTCAGATGGTTCCAACCACTAGCAAGTTTCACCTTGCTTTGTCCTGACCTTTCAGTCATTGTTCATGCACCTGTCCTTTGGGGACAATAGAACGACCTGAAGTTCTTTCAAAGAAGAGATTTTATTTCTCCCTGTACCTTCTCTTCTTCAGGCTAAAGATCTTCAGTTCTTTAAACACAACATCTTGTCCCCCTGCATTCTGCTCCCTTTTTAACATGTCCGAACCTGTCTGAATCTTTCTTAGCACACAGAGCACACTACGCTTTGTGTAGATTAAGACATAAAGGAAAAGTGAAACTGTCACCTCCCATGTTTTGGAAATCATACCCCTATTAAGACAGCCTGGAACTGCACATACATCACATATCATTTTAAGAGGTTTCTTGGGAGGTGTAGCCAACTTTCCTGGTAGAACTGGGGTTTGTGGACACTCTTGCTATCTTGCTACCAGTACCATGGATATCACTGCTGCTGAAATCCAAGTAAAGGTGATAGAAATTAATCACAGAGCTCACCTTTGGGCAAATACGATACTCAATTTATTCATATAGGGACCATTTGGGATGGGAGTCAGCATGACCTGGCCCCACATCTCTCATTCCTGAGAGCCAGGCTCTATCTGTCTAGCATGGCTTCTCCCTTCCTGTCTAACCTTTCCCTCTAGGTCTCCAGCTAGTCTGTTCAGAGAAACTCCATTCAGCATTTCAGTGTTCATGGTTCAGCTCAAACACCTTTTCTTATGTGGAATCCACTAAAACTAGATCCCACTCATCATAATTTCCATAGTTAGGGACCCTTTTCTGGGATCCTGTAACTTCTCACTTTCAAAGTATTTACCCCATTATTCTGCTTTCCAACTGCTTCCTGCCATGGGACCCTGTTCTTCTTGAAGGCCAGGACCACATCTTCATCATATTTATGTCACCAGCACCTAGCACAGAACCTGGTAAAGTGGTTGTCAAGTGAGTGTGGTGAATGAATGAATAAATGAATGAATGACTCAGTTCATGGATATTCTTCTACTTGAGATTTCTTGAGATGACCAGCAGGGGTCACCCCAACTTTTTCAGAGCTGAATGGGACTACCTTTCCACTGCAGAGAATGACAAAAATCAAGATAGTCACATCAACCAACCCTGGGGCTAAAGTTCTCTAGTTATTTAAATACAAATCAACAAAAATTTTTTAATAAATCTTCTGGTTACCCATGATGAATCAGACTGTGTGTCTGCCTAGGGGAGCTGAGTCAGAGGTGTGTCTGTCAGGTGTGAGCATCTGTCAGGGCTTAGAGCCAGAGTGCTATGAGGCAGGCTCAGATCTGGCACCAGCCACAGTTCTGACAGATGCCCACACCTGACACACACACTTCTGACTGAGCTCCCTAAAGCAGGTACAAGGTCTGAAGGAGTTTGGGGTGGGAAGAGGCCAGGCAGAGCCCTCTGGGCTCAGGCCAAGCTGCCTGGGCTGCAGACCTCCTATATCTACATTGCCCCTGTGAACACCTACTCCATGCTGGGTGCTCTACCTCATTTCATCCTTGGAACAGTCCTATGTGGTAATGAGACAAGTACAGAGTTAACAGGAGCAGGCTTGTAAGCTGGCAGGAGCGAGTTTAAACATTAACCACTTGGCTCTGACTCCCCTGGCTAGCACTGCACCTACAAGCTGACAAGCACCTTACATCATCATAGGTGAGAACAGAACAGTTCCCAATCACAATGGCAGCCCCCTGCAAGCTGACATCCATCATAGATGGGAACAGGACAGTTCCAGGAGAAGACAATTGTAATGGCAGCCCCCCTGCAAGCTGACAAGCACCCTGCATCCTGCATGGAAAAATATAAAACCCCAGCACTCCTTCTCATCGGAGCAGCTGTCTCTCTCAGACTGCCCTGGCAAAACTTTTTCTGCCAGTTCCAAACAGAACTCTCTCTCTCTCCCTCTCTCTCTCTCTCGCTCTCTCTCTCTCTCTCTCTCTCTCTCTCTCTCTCTCTCTGCCTGACTTTCAATAAAGTTGTCTTGCTCTCCCACTTTGTAGAGTCTCGTGAATTTTTTTCACGTTCTGTGAATGACCAGGGGTTAATTCTACAGCAGTACATGTGGGAGGCATTCTTATCTTGGATCTCCTGAAAAGGAAACCAAGGCTCAGAGGCGAAGCCAGCGTTCAAAGCCACACAGCCAATGAGTGGCAGAGCGGGGACTCCCCAGGAATGTGGTCCCAAAGCCTGTGCCCTTTCTACCTTGCTGTCCTGCCTCTCCAGATGGAGACCTGACGTTATTCGTCTCCTTTTCTAGGAGGAAGCATTGGAGCCAGGCCCGTTGGCTCAGGTCTGTTGGAGAGATCATGGTCCTTGGCCTCTTGGCTGGCAAGAAACATGAAAGAGCAGTTTCTTTTTTGACTTAAATATTAAGAAGCGTAATTGCTTATGTAGCTGGCTAGTTTAGAAAGAGTTCAGCCTGCCAGTAAACTTTGTTCAGGGCTCCATCTCCATTTCTCTGCAGGTCTCTTGGCTCTGCCCTGTCCTCTGTGTGTGTCAGTTTTCTCCTCAGTCTGGCCTTCCTCATGGGAGCAAAATGGCATGTGGGTCTCACATCTGCAGACTTCACCAACCAGAGCAAGAGAAAGCACTGGGTCCCAGAACACTGCCATGTGCTCATTGGCTTAGGCTAGATCTATGGTCTATCTCTGAGCCAATCACTGTGGCGAGATGGGTGAGATTATGCTAATGAGGATCAATCCCAGCCAGGACTCAAGGCTACTACACTATGGAGAGGGGTTTGAGCCTGGCTTTGGGGAGGCAACCCAAAGTTGCTGGCGGTGAGCACTGCATAAGGTCCATGAGATCCACCCAGGCCAAGCCTCCAGAATCATGGCTTTCGCAGTGCTGACAGGCCCAATGAGGGCCATCCTCAAGTGAGAGAGCCCCTTACTGAGGGTCAGATGAGCTGCTGAAGAGTGTGGGGTGAGCTATGGGGCAGAAAATCAAGAAACATCATCCCTTCCTCTTCTCCCACATGGCTAATGAAGGTCGTGCAGTATAGTGGCCTCAAAATCAGGAAGGTCTGGGTTCAAATACTTGGTTATTTGTATGATTTGGGCAAGTGGCTGCCACTCTCTGAGGCAGTTCTCACATCTCTAACATGTGAATATTAATACCTGCATCAGAGGTCATCGTGAGGATTAAATTAGGCAATGCTGGTAATGCTCCTAGGACAGTGCCCAGAACCCAGTAGGTGCTCACTAAATAGTAGACAAGTACACATCTGATCCCAATGGAGGGTCCTCCATTGGCTTCGAGGAGTCTGAAGTTCTTTTCTCCCTTCTGGGATAGCTGTGTTTACTGTAATGACCAAATTAGATGCAAAATCTCTAAGGCCACCTCTGACTTTATAAACAGAGCTAGTGAACAGGAGGAAATGCAATTCCAATTGCCCTGTATTCCCACCTCCGCTGTTGACGCAAACTCAAGCAGGGTCTCTCTGTGGCTCATGACCCCTGGAAAAGGAACCCGGCTTGGGTCAGGGATGGGAGTGGAGTTGACTTGTACTTTTGGCATCTCCTCAGCCTGCGGAGCCCAGGCCTCTTGGAGCATCTTTGGGGCTGACACAGCAGAGGTTCCGGGCACCCGCGGCCACTCCCGCCAGGAGGCTGCCATGCCCCACATTCCCGAGGATGAGGAGCCCCCCGGAGAGCCACAGGCAGCCCAGAGCCCTGCCGGTCAAGTAAGTGCCCCCTCCCTGCCTGTGGCTAGTCTGGCTGGGGCCAAGCCAACCACCCTGGGCTGAGGCTGCAGTGCCCAGCCTGGCCTGAGGGGCTGCCAATAGCCCCTTGCATGCAGCCTGCAGTGGGGCCCTGGGGAAGGTGTGCAGCACCCACACTGAGGGATAAACAGACAGCATTCCTTGGAATTGCTTGAGGGCCCCACAGACCCTGAGAGCGGAATCTCCTAGCCTGCGTCTGATGATGTCTCCTGGGAAGTCAAACTATGCTAACCCTGTAGGCGCCCTGCTAGAATGGAGAAAGACATGGAGGAGAACCTCATCATGTCAGAGCCACGGGCACCAGCCAAAGTGCTTAAAGTGAATCCACTTAAAATGGAGATCAAATTTTCATAGTAAGTAGTGAAAAAGATTTTCAGCAGAATGGTATTATAAAAAAGGAAATGACAAAAATAGGTTAATGTAAAGGGTCTCATTGAGATTGTATTGTGCAAATGAAATCATGAGAGCAAGTTATTTTTAGCTATCCATATTACAAAATATAGATTGTATGTCGCTTTTTAGAATGAACAAAGAATTAATCAAGTGTGTTGATTTTGGCGTGGGTATCTTTACTTTTTATACCAGTGAGATGATCTGTTTACATGATACCAGTTCCTTCACAGTTTACTCTGCAGCACCTTAGGAGATTCTGTTTGTTTAATATTTGAGGCCTTTATTCATTTTCCCAAGGACCTCTTTCAGTCCTTCAATATTCAAAGCATTCTCTCATGAAGAACCTATTGTGACTCATCCTCATCACTTGTTCTTTATTTGTTAACTAATCCCGCTCCATCTGCTCCTCATTGATCTAAGACGTTGTCCATGAAGTTCTCTGACCTTGTTTTCTTTGAGCTCATGAATTTTGCTGTCGCTTTGCACTTGTATAAATTTGTCTTGTTATGTCTGAAAGGTCATCCCAACTGACCTCCAGGAGGCATACACGCTTGTGAAGTGAGGGAAGAACATATGAGTGAGCATTAATTTGACAAGTGGGCAGATCCTTAGTGAGTATTTTCATGTTATGAAGACATTTGTTTTCTTGCACATCATAACTGTAGGGACTTAGATAATAAATACTTATAAAAGAATGGCCTCTCATATTTCCATATCCCAAGTTCATGGGATGAAGGTGTTGCCGAACTTGGTGGCCTTGGGGAGCCCTTGAATTTCTAAACGATAGTGGGCCAAGTCCCCATGTCTTTGGCTGCAGGCAGCCAGCTCAGAGTTTTACTGAGCCCCCCTCCCAAGAACATCTGGGACTATGGGGGTGCTGCTCCTCAGTTGCTCTCAGTGGCTCCATATTGCCCCTCTGCTCCTTGTGGGTGATGGCTGGACTCCCCCAAACTCTGTTCTTTGCTCCTGCTACCCCTTTTCTGCTGCAGCTCCTCACCAAGTGTAGTGATCCCCACAAAGTGTTGCAAACAGTGGATATAAGATTTAAACAACAACAAAAAATGTTAATCTACTGAAAGCCTGGAGATTAAATAAGGGAATGAAGACACAGAGCAACACACATCTGGAGTCAGCTGTGACTGCTCCCAATCCTCAGGTCATGGTTGTCCTGGGTTTTGTCCCCTTGGCATCCCTACTCCCCAGCCCTGGACCCCTTCTTGCCTTGGCTATCCCTGACTCCTTCCCCTTCACTTAAGGCAGATTCCGATGCGAAATCTAGCTCAGGGAGGAATCCTGGGCAAGTCCCCCAAACAGCTGCCATGCTCTGCTCCCCAAGAATGCAAGTATTCCTAAAAAATAATAATAAAAGATTGGCAAAGATGCAACTCTACCCTCAGTGAAGAGATCTTTTTACATTGAGTTCAGTTCCTCTTGGTTCCAAACTTCTGTAATTAAAAGATTCTTTGAACCTTCTCAGGAGGCATAAATCCAGACAGTGTAAAAGCCTGCTGGCCCACCTGACCATCATGCTTCATACCACACGTAGATCGATACACCTCCATTGGTCAGAGGTGAGGGTGAGCTCCTAGGGATGGCCAAGCAGGGGAGCGCTCCATGAGCTCACCGCACAGTTGAGGGTCAGAGGACCTGAGTAGAAGAGCAGGAGCTCCAGATGCCAGGTCCCCACAAGCTCACTCTCTCTGTGACCTTGAGCCAGAACCAGATTTCTATGACATGAGAGGGTGGGCCCCAGGGTCTCTGAACATCCTTCAAATGCCATGACTCTATCTCCGTGCTCATGGGAAGTCAAGATAATAAAGAGACTGTCTGCAGGTTCAATAGCCTCCGCATTGCCAGAATGCAGCAGGAGAAGGAACCATGAGGTGAGCCAGAGCCAGGATGCCCAGGTCCAATAGCAGCAGACCTCGTGTGAGTGTTAAATTTTCTGTGCCTCCGGTTCCTCATCTCTTCCCCAGGGCAAGTGTTAGCGGTTGGATCCTAAACGCTGCTCAGCCAGCCTGTGAGTGCCTTCTTTGGCCTGAGGGACGACAGAGCTGGGACAGGTTAGACCTCAGACTGAAGGCCACATTAGACTCAGGATTCTTTTATTCTCTGTGCTTGCTGACAGGCACTGGGCCTCCCTGAGCTCTCCAGAAGCTCACAGGCATTGTCAGTGAAGAGCATCCCTCTCTATTGCAGCCATCAGACAACCCTTCTCAAGCAGCCACAGCCTCAGGGGAGGGTCAGGCCTGTGAGCTGGGCTGGAGCCTGAGTCCCTGGGAGCAGCGGAAACCGGGCAGCCAGGGAAGCAGAGTTGGCCAGGAGGGCTCTGCTAGAACTCCCAGTAGCGTGTGAATTCCCACTCTGTGAAGCAGGCAAAGAACAGAGTATCCTTCTGAGTTTACAGCTCCCCGGGGTCCAGCCCTACTTCTGGTTCCTCAAGCCGCAGCCCCATTTCCCATCACTGACATGGGCTCTAGCTGAGGCCTTCTCATACAACACTAAAGCAAGTAGGCCTAGATCCTTTGTTCTTTCTGCACTCATGCACATGCGCATGCGCTCACACACACACACACACACACACACATACACACTCACACACACACACACAACACACACACTCATACACACACACACACTCACACACATTCATACACACACTCACATACTCATACACACTCATACACACACTCACACACTCACACACACACACACACTCATACACATACCCTTTAGGTCCCTAATTGGAAGCTGTAATCAAAACCTACAAAGAACTAAAGCCTCCTGACAATGTACTCTGCACCTATGTCCTGAACGCATTTTCTGGATTGGCCCTTGAACAGGGAGGGATACCTTTGGAAAATGTGTGCTCCCTCAGTGGAGGGAAAAGGTTTAGGACCCAAAGAATCAATTCTCTGTCTGGAATGAGATGAAGACAAAGTAGATATTACATGTAAAACACTTGGAACCTGGTAAGGACTGCAGAGTGGGGACGCCTCCCCCTCCCCAACTCGCCCAGTGAGAACTCTCATGCCATGCTTCCTATGCGACTGACACTGCTCCAAGCACTTTGTACATAGTACCCTCACAACAACTCTTGGAAGTAGATACGATTATTGTCCCATTTTATGGATGAGAAAACTATGGCAGGTCAGTACACTACAATCACTAGAACCCAGGCAGTACCTGGAATGCTCCAATTGAAAAGTTCGAATTCAATCTCCTTGGGCTCATTTTCACTTACCACACCCTTTGCAAGAACTGCCTCAATTATGATCATTAATGAAATATTTTCAAATAAATTATCAGGAATGAATTAGGATCTGGTGTACTAGATGTTGGAGACATCTATTGGGCACCTACTATGTAGTCTCATCCCTCCAAGGTAGATATTATGATTATCTCTGTTTTATAGATGAAAAAGCAAAGTCCCTGAGGTTATATAATTGTCATAGGTCACATAGTTGTGGCATGGTTGGGTGGAGATTCAAGCCCAAGTTTCTGCTAAGATGTTCCTGCCAGCTTTGCCCTCACCCCTGGCTCCACCCAGCAGTAAAGCCAGTGCTCTGATCACCAGAGGTCCTAGGCATGGGCAGTAGGTGCTTGATACCCCATCTTCTATGGAAAAGAATTTTGGGATGTGTCAAGAGCACAGCTCCACCAGAATGGTTTCCAGTGGTCCTGGTGACAAAGAGCTGTGCGAGTGTAGCTGTGGAAATGCCTAGGACAAAGCAGAAAGTATTTTAGAAATGTTGGTTGTTACAATGGTTAGGAATGTGTATTATAATTATTTGTCCTTAGTTCCTATTCTGAGCAATGGAGTAGCTTGTCATTTTTTGTTTCCCTGTTTGCCCTGTCAGGCTGCATGGGAGCTACTTAGAGTCAGGGGCTGTGTCTTTCATGTGTATATCTCCAATTCTCAGCATAGGCTCTAGCATACAGTGAGAGCTTAGGGATGGATGGATGGCTGGATGGATGGCTGGATGGCTGGATGGACAGACGGACGGATGGTTGTGTGACAGCTTGGGTAGCTAACTGGCTGGCTGGCTGATTAAATGCCTGTTTTGAAGGGAAGAATAAATGGAAGGAGGAACAGTGTTAGGAAAGGAGGGAGGAGGAAAAGACAGAAGATGAAGGGGGATAAATGGCTGGCTGGCTGAGTGATACACTCTCCACAGAGTAAGGCTAATAGACACTGTGATTGATACTTCTTCTACCTTCCTGAAGTGACTTGGCGTGAGAGTAAAAACAGTGATATAGAAGGCAGGATAATCAGGTGATTCTCCCTGACCTCTGGTAATGCAGTGGACAATGGCAGGAAAGAGGGTCACAGAGGCAAGACAGGCTGAGTGCATGGAGGCGATCATGGGCTGGGCACTGGGGAGCCTTTGAGGGGCCAGGGAACTGGTCTGCAGAGCTTGGCCGGGAGCCCTGTGTCCAGCAGACCTCAGCAGAAGCACTTGCACTCTTTCCTGTGCTCTTAGGACTTGCTGCTGGAATAATCATTTTCTCCCAAGTCCTCGGAGTCTTTTTATAATGTCACAAGAGCACTAATTCCTCTGTGTGGCCAGAGCACCCTCTCCAGAGGCAGTCCCTGTTTGCCTTCCAAGCTCTGAGAGAGGGACCTGGGGATATAGTCACCACAATGTCTGCCCTCCACCACCCCCCTCAGCATTATTATTATTATCATGGCTTTATCTCATTAAGTCCTTAAAATGTGCTGGAAAATGGGGATTAATTGTTCCACACAAAGTTTGAGAACATGAAACTCAGAGAAATTAAGTAACTTCCCCGAGGTCACCCAGATGGGATCCTGGCCTAGGCTGTCCTGGCTTCACTTCTCCACTCTGGTCTCCTGCAGGGTCCTTGTCTCTGCCAGGGCCCAAGTGCAGGAGCTAAACGCTCACTCCCTGCCTGGGCTGGGTCTGGGGCTGCTGTTTAGAGCTTCCTAGCCCAGGCCTAGTCATGTGACATTGGGGAAAGGAAGACAGTATTCCTGTCTATGACACTGGCCTATATTTATCCCTGCACCCAGGCAGTTAGGAAACTGTTGTGCATTCCTGGGAATTTATAAATGAAATAAACATTTAAATGTTTCTATAAGTTTATTTAAGGAGAACTAAATGTGGCCTGTTGTTTTATTATAGGGTGGACGAGCTTGTGGGGCAATGATAGCCCAGCCCCCCAGTGCTTGGCTGACTCCAGGGAAGGGACATGGACTCCTGGGGAGGCTGGTCCTCTGGAAGGGTGAGGGGCTGCCCCTGCTATTTTTACTCAACTGTGTGTTCAGCCTCGTGCTGACTCGAGGGCTGCCTGGAGGAAGGGGAATGTGAGGGAGGGTGCAGGTTGGAAGAATAAGAAAGAAGTGGTGAAGAACTATGGGATACCAGGAACCAGGGGAGGTGACATCTAAAGATGACTAGAACTGTAGCTTGTGTAGTGGGGAAGCCACCAGGCCTGGTGTTTAGTCCCGTCCACTATTTCCCACCTGCACAGCCCTGGACAAATCTGTTCTTTGTTGGTAAAGTGGGGATTGAAATGGGAAAGAGAAAAGAGAAAAGAAATGTACCAATCACCTACTCCATGCTCAGGGCCTTCACTTTCCTCTTCATGATTCTATGAGGGTCAGGAGGTATTATCACCCCCAATTTGTAGATGGGTATTCTGAGGTTCATTCACAGAATTGCTGGGAGGATTGAATGAAAAATCACATGGGAAGTGTCTGGGACAGGGCCTGGCACAGAGTGGGTCTGAGCAAGTGTCACTTCCCTCTACCCACATTTGTTCCTTTGCTTCTCGTGCCTGTACTCACAATGGGCACTTGTACTTGGCCTGAGAAGCAGATGGTGAGACAGGGAGCAGAGCAAGGTGAAGGTTGCCTGGGAGGTGGGCTGCTCTGGCTCGTGTGGCAAGCGCTCAGGGGAGGCGTTCTGTGGCTCCCTCATCAGAGGGCCTAGGTCCTCCTAATTTAACTGCAATTAGCTGCTCAGGCCCCAAACTAAAAATGACAGTCTCCTCAAAGCCAAATTCCGAAGTAATTAATTCAGTCTTAAAGGTCACAATAACGGAATATAACATCTGACACTTACTGAGCATTTACAAGCTGCCAGATTTAACAAATGAAAATGCAGTTATGTCCGTGCAATATTTGGGACATACTTGTGCTAAGAAATTTTCGTTGCTTATTTGATGTTCTGTATTTTACCTGGCAATTCTATTTCTATAGCAACCTGTTTAATTCTTATAACTACTCTGTGATATAGTTATTTTATAGATGAGGTAACCAAGGCAGAGAGGTGAGGGCACTTGCTCAAGGTCACATAGCTATGAATAATAGTAAGCGAGAAGTTGTATCATAAATTAGTGTGGCTCCCAAGACCCAGACCCTTGAAATCCCAAAGCTAGTAACCTGCCTGGAGGATTCTGTATTTTGGATGCCTGCCCCACAGACTTTCCTGAGGCCCTGCCTTCTGTTTGGCAGCTCAGAGTAGAAGTAGGGATGGGTATTTACATAGCATTGAAACCTGGCAGAATGCACCCGAGAGGGCCCCACACTCCTCCTGGATTAGTCTCCCCAGTGCCTGCTGGAGTGAAACACAAGACTGAATGTTCCCCACAAGACAGTTTTGAAGAAAACTAGAAGTTGCCCAGAGCTTGCTCAACCATTCTGTGAGCTGATTAGGGAAAGAAAACTTTGATTTTATTACTGTGTATTTTGCACACACTGGAAGGAGAGAGGGAGGAACACTCCTGGACATTCCATCAGGGGATTAGAGAATTTTTCCCTGATTGCTTTGTGCCTCCTGTCTTTTAAGCAGCTTCAAATTGTGTAGGTTACATGCTTGGCACTTGCCACCCATGGCTTGTTTTTGCATTTCTGTTGGGGGCATCTCTGCCCCAACCCTCCTCTGAGTGAGGGTGCCTGCAGCCCCGTGCATGACAGCCACCTCAGGGGAGCTTTGCTGAGTGGCCTTTAACCAGAAGATGGAGAAAACTTCCACCAGAAAACCAGTCACCTCACAGGTTTCAACACATAGGGCACCAGGCCCTGTGTGTTACCAGCGGGTTGAGCGGGAGGGAGGGTACGTCTACACCATTTTCCATTGAGTTAACTGGGAAGCACTTCAGAGGGCTGCCTGATTTACCTGTGTCTTCCCAGGCCCTATCATAGACTCTAACACATAATAGGGGTAAGTAAATGTTTGCCAGATGAAAGGACAGAATAAAACACAATACTGTGCAAATGTTTAAAGACGGACCCCTCTCTTCGATGCTAAGATTATTGGAAACTTTTGTGAGTTAATCATAAAAAGAAGAGTCAAGACAACCTGCACAATAAATAATTGGATGGAGCAGGAGGAGTAAGCTTAGGAAGGAGGGAGGGAGGAAGAGAGAGGATTTGGGAGGGGAGGGTAAGCAGTGAAGAGTCAAAGGGGAGAGGAGAGGTGAGGATGGGAGTGAAGATTTGTTCCCCTTTCATATCCTTTGAGAGGTGAGAGTGAAGACTGGATTGGTTTTTCTGTCTGCTGAACAATTGTGTAGTAAAGCTTTCCTTCTTAGAGCCTGGACCACATGGATCACAGCTTCATTAGGCTTCAGGTTAAATCATTTAACTTTAGAGTCAAACCATGGTTGGTTAGAAGGAGCATGCATTCTCTTTATCTGCTAGGGATGTTTATATTTATCAAATTGTTCCCCGATTTTTATAGTCTCATGTTTTTATGTCTTATATTTTATTGTTGGTTACTTCAAATTGCTTTGGGAAATAGGTAGTATGTCAATAAAAGAAAACAAATAAACTGTATTCTTCTTACTTAGCAACCTGAATATATTCAAGTCTTGGGAATGCATATATAGTATAACACCATCACCACCACCATGATTTTCTTTTCAGAACACATCATGCAGAAATTAATGATTGGCCCCTCCTGCCCCTTTACATAGACTTAGATAGACCAATGCATGTAAAAGCCCCTCCTCAAGGGGTGGCAGAAACCATGATATATTGAGCATGGATATATTTTTTTCTTGTTCACCAAAGGATTCATGCAAGAAAGAAAATTTCTAAATATGACAAACAAAACATGAAACATAATTTTCAGAGCTCAACCTTTCATGGTCAAAATAAACTCCACCCCATGTTGTTATAATGGAAAAAAAAAAACTCCACCCCAGAAAGGAACCTCACACACATGGCCAGCACAGTCAGTGTTTCAGTTGGCATTCCCATGTAACGGTCACCCATGAGGCCACATAGGAAGGATCTCCATCAAGATGCTGGGGAACTGGTACAAGATGAGCGAAGTCCTGGAGATCTAGATGCCCGGAGTTAACAACACTGTATTGCATACCTAAGATTTTGCTGGGAAGGTAGATCTTATAAGTGTTCTCATTATCATCATCATAAATAAAAGTCAGGAGGAAATTTTGGAAATGATGAATAGGTTTATGTGACCATAGATTGTGGTGAGCGTTTCATCTCTAAACTCATCAAGTTTGCATTAAATATGTACAGCTTTTTGTACAGCAATCATACTTAACGAAGTGATTTTTTTTTAAAAAGATGACATGGGTAGAGGAGGTTTTGAGCACATAACCCAAATGTAGTACTGTCCCTGAATATCAGGAATGTGTGGGTGCCACCACCTTTTCTCTTGGCCTCCATTCTTTCTCTACCCAGGCTGACCACAAGCCCGAGGACTCTGCAGCACTTTTTCCTATATTGTCAGTGATTTTCTAGAATATCACCAGGGATGGCTTAGAGGTTCCCTAATCTTAGTGCATTAAAAGTAGATCATGTGAAGCTGAGGTGAATGCTTACTGGGGAGTGAAGGAGAAACTGCTTATGTATTTTTTTTCTTTGAATAATCCTGATAAACTGCATTCGTCCCCTTATCAAGATGGCTTTAAGTGTCATGATGCTGGAATAAGTGCTCCAGCTCCAACTCCTGTAAGCTTTCTCCATCCCAAGCCTAATTCTATCTGTGTTTTCATTCTAAACCACTAGGGCCCTCCCACCACGGGAATATCTTGCAGTCCACCCACCATCGTCCTGACTGGGGATGCCAGTTCACCGGAAGGAGAAACTGACAAAAATCTGGCCAACAGGTACACCCATGTGCCTGGTCTTTGCACTGTGAAGAGCAATAGTTCCTAGCACAGGGATTAGATAGCTATACTTTTAATAAATCTTTCCTTGTTTCTTGAATCATTTCATTGATAAAAATGCAATCAAGCAGTTTTTAAAAATGGGAGAGAGAGCTTTGGATTTTTCCATTATCTCTCCCCGCCCAAAATTATTTTTCTTCTTCTGGATTTGGTCTTTGCACCCTGCTAGCCTTTAAGAAAAGCACAAATCATAGCAGAGGAGTTTTCTATAATAACTGCCCAGATATTTGCAAGCAGACCTGAAAGATGTGCATCTTTGACTATAGAATCCTGCCCCCAGCCAAAGTGGGTCCTGTATGAAGGATGATCTCTTGGAAGGGACATTGGCTCACATGCATGAGATGTCACTGCCTCAGTTTCACACAGCACCAGCCCATGCATTGGCCTACCTGGAATGAGATTGTCTAACTACACTTTCCAAAATGTCACAAAGATAATTCTCATACAAATATATGGAGAGCATGTGTCAAAGATATATGTAACTCCTGAATGAGGGACCCATCAGGATAATAAAGCCAGTTCAAAGGAGGATATAAGAAATAGATAAACATATATAATCAGTGGGGAGGGAAAGAATGCTGGAATAAAATTGCTAAGTTAGATATAAAATAAATTAATGTTCTATAGGACAATGAAACCATATTTTTATCTTTTCTCCCAAGCAGAAATCATCTGCATCTCTGCCAGACAACAATTATTTATATTTCATGAGTTTTCTATAAGTTAGATGTTCACTCAGAGTCTGGGCCCTAATAACTAGTTTATAGTCAAAGTTAAGTCTCCTTAGAGCAGTGATTTGAAAACTTTAGCATGCATCAGAATCACCAGGGGCGTTTGTCCAATCAGGATGCCTGGGCCTCATCCTTAGAGTTTCTGATCCAGTAGGTCTGGGGTGGAGCCTGAGAATTTGCATTTCTAACAAGTTCCCTATCTTAGACTAGCTCTTAAAAACGATTCTCTCATATGACTTTGAAAGAATATATGGGCATCTGTTTGCCACTTTCCAAGCTGTGGACAAATTTTCTTAACAAGATGGCCCTCTTCTATCTTGCAGAGCACACAGTCCCCACAGGAGGCTTTCTCACCGACACTTGAAGGTTTCCACTGCTTCGCTGACTTCTGTGGGTAAGGGCTAGGCCACTTTATCTTATTTCTACAATCAGAGATAAGGGTCACACACACCTTCAGTGGGTTTGAGTAGGAAAGCAGGTCTGGCAGCTTGGCTGGGCAGGACCCCCTGTCCTCTCTTGCTCCTCAGGCAGGCCCATCCCTACGAGCCCAATGGGGCAAAGTTGATCACCCACCCCCTCTGTGTTTGAGCCCCAAAGAAGTTTGATGTCTTATCACAATTTATTTTAGTAAAAAGACCAGGGTGTGAAAAGGAAAATAAGGAAATAAAAAAGAGAGCAACTGTGAGGCTCAATTCTGGGGCTCAGGGAGCAGAGCCCTACTGTCCCCCAGGTAGGCAGGTGCCTGAATGCGGAGCTACCAACTTGTCCCCCCAGTGGTCCCTCAGGGCCTGCTCTGGACCATCAGAGCACAGATACGATACAGACTTGGCTCTTGCTTTCATCTTGCGCATATTCTATGAGGAGACTAAGAAGTGAAGTGATATAATCACGACACTATATTGTAAGGCCCTTCACAGAAATGTTAGGGAAACTGAGGCAGAAAGGAGTCCAATTCTCTCTGGGAAAGGGGAAGATTGGATAGCTATTCTAGAGGAGACAGCATTTGAATTGTGCCTTAGAGAGTTGGACAGATAGACAAGAGGGGGGAAAGGCATTGCATCCCAGGTGAAAGAAACAACATGGTGGGGAGAAGCCATAACAGAGCAACTGAATGCTCTGCCACATGTATTACTCAGGACTCTCTAATGATAGAAACCCAACTCAAACTAGCTCATGCCAAAAAAATAAAAGCCAGGGCTTGTGGCTTCAGAGAATTCTGTATCCAGGTGCTCAAGCTGGGTCATTAGTAATTGTCCCATCCCTTATTTCAAGTTTCCTCTCTTGTGTGTTAGCTTCTTCTTGAGACCAGCAACTCCAGAATTATGTCCCATGAGTGGAAAGAGAGTTCCTCTTCCCCGTATACCCAACACAATTCCCAGGATTGCCTCTCATTGGCCACCCACGGCCATTCCTAAGCTGATCACTGTGTCCAGGAAGATTGAACTCATTGGCTAAGGCTGGTACACAGTTCAATCCTGGTACTTGGGATGAGGTGGGGATCGGGGTTTAGCTCCTTCTTAACTAACATAATTGAGACTCAGAAGGGTTTCACCCAATGCAAACTGGGGAGTATGACCAAAAGAAGGGGGAATGGAGGTTGGGGAGTCATTCACCTCTGAGGGGCTGGAAGGGACGGGCCTTGGGTAGAGCATGTTGGGTCAGCAAAAGTGGCTGGGCCCAGTTTGGCATTTGGATGTCACACTGGGGACCATGAAGAATCCTGATGAGGTGAGGCAGGAGAACTGCATGGTCAGATATGAATCTTAACAAGGTCACTCTGATAGGCAGTGAAGGATGGGGTGGAATGATGGTCTGGACCTATGAGATGTCTGATGTAATTGTGTAGGTAAGAGCTAATGAACAAGAATGGCAACAAGGGGCATGTTCCAGAGATATTTATAAAGTAAATTATGACTAGAACTTGATGATCAGTTGGTTGGATATGGGGGGACTGAGGAAGAGGGAGGCGTGTGGCATGACTCCTATGTTTCCAAGAAGCTGGGTGTCATTCCCCAGTGAAGTCCTGCTGGAGAAGGGACAGTTTTGGAGAAGGGTGGGGGTAAACAGTGTGAGTGGAGGGAAGAAGGGAGAGTAGGTAGCTATGGGATTGTGTCTTTGGCCCATGGTCTTTGGAGTGCTCTCTTTACCCACACACCTTAAGCTCATTAGTTTGTTGAAGAAACAGAGACTTGAAGGACGCCAGGGGAGCAGATAGCACAGAGGTGAGGCTCCTGACGGCCTTCCCTAATTGCAGAGTTCAGGACAATATTGGGAACCTAGGTGGCTTCATGACCACTTGTGACAGAGGACCTGCTATAGTCACAAGCTACAAGCTGGAGAGGCCGGGCCTGCTGAGGAAGCCCTGTCTGTCCCCATGCAGCCCTCTCCATAGCCTGGCACTGAGCTGAGGTTTGGCTGGCCAAATCTGCCCTGGGCAGCATCTCTGTGCTGAGGTGTGAGGTGGCAGGGCCTGTAAGCCAGGGGCCAAGGATTCCATGGCTCTCACTCTGCACTCACCCTCCCTCTGCAGACCCTGCGGGGCATGTCATCGACCTGGTAAATGACCAGCTGCCAGATATCAGCATCTCAGAGGAGGACAAGAAGAAAAACCTGGCGCTGCTGGAAGAAGCCAAGTCGGTGAGTGAGCGATTCCTGACCCGCCGTGGGAGGAAGTCCAGAAGCAGCCCTGCAGAGTCCCCGTCAGGTAGGATGTACAGGGGGCTACCCTGAGTCCCTCTGAGGAGGGGTGGGGGGGGCAAGGTTGCAGGTGCCTGCTTTCAAGGGGTGGCCTTTGACTCATCTGCCCCCAGGCCCCTAGGCCCAGGAGGACTGAGCCTTATGGAGGGGATCCTGCCAGGAGAGGACATCTCACCCTGTTTCAGAAGCTCTAAAATACTGACCCAACTCTAGCCCAGAAAACTTTGCTTTTTGGTTTTTGGGGCCTGTATGTGACCGTTGTGGCTTCCTGTTTCTAAAAGAAATGTCAGCCCATATGATATCCGTGAACTTGACTGGGGCTACCCCAGCCCTGAATCCTGCATGGAGGGAAATCCTCTGTGTGATGCCCATGTGCACAGACTCCTGGGTCACCCTATGTGGATAGAGTCTGCATGACCTCCCCACCTTCCCTAGGAGGCCCCGCTTTATTGGTACCTCCTCAGCAAAGGTCTGGAGAGGCTTGCACTGGGCTCTTCTCCCTGATTTCCAGCCATGGGCCCCAGCAAGGACCCTAGGTCCTGAAGGGAAGGCAATGTGGTCTTTGTCATCTTTATGGAATTGCTGAATTAGAAGGAAGATTTTGCTGGGCCCTGAAATCCACCCTGCTACACCTTTGGCTAAAGTCACTCTTTTTCCTGAGCAAAGCATTGAGGCAAGTTTTAGATGAGCCTGAAAGCACTTAGAAAGCAAGGGGAACATTTGAAATCAGGGCTATCCTAGCACGTCTGGGAGGTATAGCCTTCGGAGCTGTACCTGCCAAGCAATGCCAGGTCCTTTGTTTCTAGAAGGTGTTGTGAAGTCAAGCCCAGCAGGCTGAGGAGTGTGACCCCAATCCTCAACCCCCAAATGACCCGAGTGCCCCCTCTGTTGGGCTGGCAGCAGGGAGGTGTTGGGCTGGAGTAGGAGCCTTATATGGCAGTCTAGAATCAGTTCCTGGCCTCAACAAGGCAGACCCACTTCCCAGGGGTCAGAAATACCTGAAAGGATGTCTTTGTTAGGCTGAAGTCCTAAACCTTCACAAATGCTGGCCAGTTTGTGTCTGTCTCCACAGCGATTTCCCCAAACCTCAGCCCTGGAGCTTCTCCTGCACCTTCTCGGAGCAACTCACTCACTGTCCCCACGCTGCCCGGTGAGGTCCAATCCCCTGGCATTTCCTGCCCTGGTTTCTCCCTTTGGGTGGCAGCTCAGCCCTTCTCCTGGCCTGACCACAAGGCCTCCTATCCTTCAGGCTTCCCAGTTAGGCCCCCTGTTTGCCCCCCTTCCCAGGGGCGTGCCCAGTGGGGCCTGGCTGGGCTGCCTCAGAGGAGGAGGATGTACTTTATCTTGGGGTTTTGAGTTAATGTGGGGAGACAGAGCTAACCCAGGATGAGGCACGCTGGGTGAGGATGGGGCAAGGGGCCTATTCCTGGCACTCTCTGCCCAGAGAAGACTCAGAGGTGTGCTCCGAGCTTATTTGGAAAGGCCTTTATTTGGGCCACTCTTTGCCTTTTGGTCTCTTCCCTTTCATTAGGCTGTTTTCAGGGCCATGCCTTCAGATCAGCAGGGAAAGGACAGGGTGCTAGGGAGTGCAGCCTTTACCAGAGCTGCGGGAAAAGCTCAGCTTCGGGCCTGGCAACCTGGATTCAAAGCCCAGAGCTGACACTTCCTGGCTGTGTCACCTTGATCTCCGTCTGCCTCAGTTTCCTCATATGGTTTCTGGGCTCAGCACAGAACCTGACACATGAGAAGTATTCAACAAATGGTGGCATTACTGGCTTCCAGGCCTGAGGGAACCAAGGGAGGACATCCTGGGAACAGATGTATTTTTGCTAAAGGGACAACTGAGAGTCTGGGGTGCTGGACATCACTCACCAGTGTCTGGACCATTCCAGGTTTGGACGCATGCAGTGGCCCACAGTCCCCTCTACCTGGAGCTCCATCACAGGTAACGTGGACCTCATTGGGGATTCCTAGGCCAACTGGTCTCTCTTCTGACTGCTTAGCCCCCAAGAGGCTCTTTGTGACCCACTGAAATGAGGGTGCCAGGTGGGAGAGGCCTCTGTACACAGCTGGGGGCCTCCTTCAGGGTATTTCAAGAAGAGTTATGGTCCCTTCACATGGCTGACTGACTCAGGTTTGCTTTCTCCAGCAGAAGGGGGATGAGGCCGAAGTCTCTTCACCTCACCTTTGCGAGCCTGTGAGTTCAAACGCCAATGTGGATGATGGGGGTGTGGGAGACACAGTGTCCCAGAAGCCTGGGCTGGCCCTGGGGAGCCTGCCAGTGAGTGTGCACGAGTGGAGGGTTCAGGCTGGGGAAGCTAGAAGGTTCCTGTGCCCTGTTGTAGTTGGAAGTCTGAGGTGGAGGGAGTAAGGAGGCAGGATGCAGGGGGGTGACCTCCATTGTGGTCCTGCCCAAAGCCCTGCACCCCCAGGCAGACTGCTGACCAGTGGCCAGGCGGACTGCTGGGCCTACCAACAGCCAGGCAAGACAGCTGCTCTAGTGAAAATTGCAGGAAACCTCCAACCCCTGGTTAGGATTCTTCCTAGAGGCAGCCAGGAAAACCTCATCTTTGCTGATGAGCAATAGAAGGGCACCACATCTACCCAGAGCACAGTGCTCAAGAGCACTGAACATCATCTCATCTAGAGCTGGGTCAGGGTTAGAGTCCTCTGGGAGAGTCTCAGCACACACACAAGGCAGCCTCACAAGTACCCAGACCCAGGCCCATGGGCCCCTCACATATCAGGCTTCCCTTGGAAAATGAAAGAAGAGTGAACTTCTGAGCATTAATATATCAGCTTTGCAAGAATCACCTCATCCAATGATTCTTAACATTTTTTTGGATCATGGAACTCTCTGAGAAATTGTTGAATGCTATAAATTCTCTTCCCAGAGAGATACATAGAACACACACACACACACACAGACACACACACACACAACCCCCCCCCCAACACACATGCCCCTTAGCAAGGTCTGTGGGGGCAGAGGCCCCACAGCAGAATCGGTCCCACCTGTGTCCTCCCCTACCTGTCTCTGGGGTCCCAACTCTACCTTGTCTCTTTCAGACTATCCCCAAAGGGCTAGCTGACCGGAAGCAGAATGACCAGAGGAAAGTGTCTCAGGGCAGGCTGAGTCCTCGTTCTCCCACAGTTGAAAAATCCAAAGAGATTACAATAGAACAAAAGGAAAACTTTGATCCCCTCCAGTGCCCTGAGGCCACATCCAAGGGCCCTGCTTCTGGCACAGGCAGTGGTGGGAAAATGGCCCTGAACAGCCCCCAGTCTGGCCCTGCTGACAGCGAGCTGGGCAAGCTGCTCCTGAAGACAGCCAAGGAGGGTAACCCCCTGCCCAGAGGTCCAGCCCAGGGCTCTGGAGGCGCAGCTCCCCCGGCTCCCCAGGGAAAAGGCACAGCTGGAGAGCTGACAGTGCCCAAGGTTGGCTCCAAAGCGGAACTGCGGCCCCCTTCTTCCCGGCCGCCCCTGCTGCGGGGGGTCTCCTGGGACAGTGGCCCTGAAGAACCGGGCCCCCGGCTGCAGAAAGTGCTTGCCAAGCTGCCACTGGCAGAGGAAGAGAAGCGTTTTGCGGGCAAAGCCAGCAGCAAGCTGGCCAAGGCACCTGGACTCAAAGATTTTCAGATACAAGTGCAGCCTGTACGGATGCAGAAGCTGACCAAGCTCCGCGAGGTGGGTTCCTGGGGCCAGCTGCGGGGGGGTGCTCTCCAGGTCTGCCCCGGGTGGAAGTCTCTGGGCTCAGCCGGGCCCTGGGGCCTTGTGGGGCCCTCAACTTTTCCACCCTAATAAATTAAGCCCACTGTGAAGCATCGTCTTCATAAACACCAGTTTCAGTGGGGCTTTTGCCCCACTTACTAGGGTGAGGTCAGTCTGGGACATAGTTGCCACACAACACCAGGGGAAGGTAGTGTGTGGAGGGGTGAATGGGCCCTCAGTCTGGGCCGTGTGTTTTCCCTCTAGCCGGAGCTGGTGGCTCATAAACAGGAAGCCCTTGTCATATCTAGGACCGGGCTAGACAAGGGTGGAAGAGCTTTTCCCTTTGTGATGAGACCAAGCTTTCCTTCCTGATGCCTGTTAACAAAGGGCCTCAAGTCCATCCCCAAGTATGATAATGGCCATGAGGCGCTGGTCCCCCCATGGTGAGTTTCTTCAATGTCCGTGATGTCCCCCAACTTTCACTGGCCATCAAACCAGGCACAATGGTCTCTCATCGGGCTGCCACCCTATGCAGGGGGTGGCCAGAAATGGAGGGGAGAGAAACCAGAATGCTAGGGTCAGAAGAGGTTAACAGGACAAAGGAGTCCTTATCCAGTCCCCTCTTCCCCAGAGGGCCAACCCAGGCCACAGGCCAAGGCGACTGGGACTTCACAGGGTAGGACCTGGTGCCCCCACAGCTGAAGCGGGACAACACTCTCCTGGCTCCTCCACAGAGGAGCGTGGGACAGGGAAGGAACAGAGGCATGTGACATGTGACAGTAGTCAAGCACACGTGAGGGGGTGTCAGCAGGGATACTCTCCAGTGCTGGCCACTGTCCTATTCAGAACCTTCCACGATGCTGAGTCGGAGGCTCTGGGATCTAGGGCCTGGCTGCTGATGTTAACATTTTACACAGAAACCCCACCCAGCCGGGCAGACCTCACTGACTAGTGGATTAGCACAGGCCTGGAGGGGCTGCCCGTGGTGCGCCACAGATCTCTGGGGAAGATGGCACCAGGGGGCCCGACAACCAGGTACTTGCCTTCATGGACCTCTGGCCATGAAGAGAGGCCAGGCCCAGGCAACAGGCCCACACACCGAACACCCCTGCAAGCTTCTCTCTGCAGCAAAGAAAGCCACAAAGAACCTGGGGACCCCATCCCATTCACTTCTGCCCTGACAGCAGAGCACCCCCATCCCAGTCCAGTATTCTAAGAGCTGATTGGCTGTGGGCCTCTGGCTTGCTAAGGAAACAGGTAAAGGGCCCTGTCCTGTGACTTCTGTTTGGGCCAGAAGCACCTTTGGCTGGCCCCATCATTTCCTTCTTTACCCACGGGACAAACTCTTCTAGTGGCCTCTGCCACACGGATGACCAAGAATCCCTTTATAGTACCAGTCACAGGGGCAAGGATCTGGGTCAGGCATTTCCACTTGGGGGTACTCGTCTGGTACTGATGGACTAGAAGAGGTGTGAGCCTACCTGTGCCACATACTGTGCTCAGTATCCCCATCTCTCCCAGGGCTCTGCCTGCTGAGGCCCCAGGCAGGACAGTGGCTGCTGGACCTGCTCCTTTAGGGCACCAGTTCTCAGGCCTCATTTGTCTGGAGAGTTTAACAGCTCAAGAGGTGCCATAACAGGCCACTGAGGAACTGAGTGGGGGCAGTCCACAACGCCTGGAAGTGGACACTCACTGCCTAGATCAACGGGGCAGGAAGCCCCAGCACCTCGGAGCATAGTTATGAACTCACCAAAGATGACTTCCACGGGCAGACCCATCCACACGCAGGGGACCCGCCTGTCCCCAGAGCCCTGGGCTCAGCTTCTGTTTGTCCTTCAGCCACAGTGTGACTGGCAGCTCATTCATCAAGTCCCACAAGCATTTTTTAAAAGCAAACAGTTCTTACCCAAAAAATGTGGTGCCAAAAGTGGAGTTTAAGGCACCTTTATGGGCTGGGAGAAGAGCCATCTTCCTGGTGCCCCTCAGATGTCACCTTGTCATGACTGTCTACCCACCTTTGAGGCTGCACCTAGTGACTCCCACATGAGGCTGAGTGGTCACAGAGCCATCGACAAAATGGAGAGAAGAGCCCAGCCTGAAGTCCTCATCTGAAATGTTGTCTTTTGCTTTTTCTAAAAAGGAGCACATCCTGATGAGAAATCAGAATTTAGTGGGGCTCAAGCTTCCAGACCTTAGTGAAGCGGCTGAGCAGGAAAAAGGTAGGTGGGACTGGGGCAGATGCTCTCCTCAGGCCAGGACTGGATTCATTTCTTCCAGATCAAAGAAGGTAAAAGTGCAAACACTAGTCTTCCTGTCAGAGCCTTTGTCTGTCCCAGTGGCAAGCATGGGCTGTGCACAGAGCAGGCCCTTGGCAAATATTTGCAGGTGAACAGATTAATCAGATCATGTTTCCTGCCCACTCAGAGAACCTCTAAACTTGTCTCCTTCCAACTAGCCCAGACCCTGCCAGCCCTCGCCAGCCTTGTTAGCACCTAGTGGGTCTGGAAGGGTGACTGAACTTTTGACACTTCTGTTTCCATTCACACCCAGGAAGCCACCCAAATAGAATAGTTCCGCTTTTCAAGACATCAGAGTCATCTCTTGCTTTCTAATCTGCTGTCACCACAAAGTCCTGAGCCCTAGCCCTTCTCTTCCAGTGACCGCAAGTCCCCACCCAGCCATCCTGCCAGACGCATCTTCTGAAAAATGAGACTTTGGGTCTCTTCCCCCTTACCCCCTCATCCCTGGCTCACTTCTCCTGATATCTCATATCTCGTGCTGCCCGTGGTCAGTCTCAGCATAGAAGCCTTCTGCTTAAGGGTTGTCATATGCGCATGTCCAGGATGCCACCAACCATGCTGGAAGCCCCTGGTCTGAAACATAGTAACTGACACCTACCTATTCCACATTAACAAGAAGTTTCCCGGAAGTAAAATTTCTGACAATCTTTTAAGTGCTAATTAAAAAAAAAAATTAACCCTCTTTAGAAGAAATCTTTGGAAAAATTATTATATGCTGCTCTACTTTTCATTTTTAATTTGTTTATTAAAGCAGATTCAAAACACTAAGAAGATTTACCTTAAAATTTCACCCACAACTCCATAAAGTCTGAAAAGGCAACAATTTGTATTTATCCAGTACTTATGCATACTTATAAATTATTCACAATTTATTTGATGGTAGACATAACTTCATGTTTCTACTTTTTAAAAGTTACTTCATCGCTAATTACATATATTTCAACTTGTTCTCATATTTATCAGGCTTTGCTTTTGCTCTGTAATACAGTGAGAACCAGATAATCAATAATGGGTGCATACTATTGTTTTGTTTTGGTGTCTCTATTGTTGGGTATGTCAGATGTTTACAGTTCTCGTAGCTATGATGAACAACCCTACCATAAACATCCTTGTACTTGTAGCTTCTTTCTTTCTTCCTTTAATTTACTCCCTTGGGATAAATTCTCAGGCTTGAGAGTCACTGGGTCAAAATGTAGAAACATTTGTATTTACCAAATTGCTTCCAAAGTATTCCACTCCCTGCACAGACTAAGTGAGGAGTCTTCCTGAGAACTACGAGCACTGGACTTGGCTTTGCTTTTGCTCCGTAATACAGTGAGAACCAGATAATCAATAATAGTAACAAATATAATGTATTATTCATGGTATTAGTATGAGATGTCCCTTCATTATTACTTCAATTAATTTGCTAGCAAGTATGCTCAAATGTGAACTTTTAAAATATTTCCTTTTTCCCCCCCCCCTTGTTGGGTGAATAGTAGCTACTCATCCCTTTACCCATGTGTCCATTTGGGTATTGGGTTTTTCATTGGTTGGTTGGTTTTTGTTGGTAATCTTTATAGACTCTATGAATACTAACTCTTCATTGGCTGTATTTTCTCATACTTTTTTGTTCTGCCATTTTTTGCTTTTTAACAAGTTCTGTGTTATTTTAGAGAAATTGTAGTTTTCATAGAATCTTTTTTTTTGCCTCTTTTCCTTTGAGAAGTCTTCCATTATTTAAATCATTATAGAAATATTACTTCTCTGTAATTGGGATGGCAAATCTGTTTTCTACTAGTTTATCTGTAGTTTGATCTATTCATATTTATTTTGCTAATACCTCTGAAATTTATTTTAAGATACAGGTACCTGAAGATTTAAGATATTATTACCTCTGTAATATTTTAATTGTGTTTATATTTCTTGTTATATTGTGGCTTAGATAATTACATACTACAGTCTTTTTTTAATCTATTTCAAAGATTAATTCTGGGCCTTTGAATCTGCTTCATTCTGATCAGAACTGCGCCATTTTAATTACTGCTGCCTTGTACGTTCTAGTGTGTAGTAGGGTTACATTTCCCTCATTGTTCTTCTTTTTCAGAACATTTATTGTGTTCTAGATGCAAAGATTTAATGTTAATTAAAAGGAAAAACAACTGGTCAAGGAGTCGGGGGGTTTGAGTTCACGTGTCAGTCCAGACACCAATTAATGGGGCCTTTAAATATGTCCCACCACCTCTGTGGGTCTCACTCCCTCTTGGACTAGATGACCTTAGAAGGATCTTAACTCGAACCTAAGATTCAAGGATTCCAGGTCCTTTCCAGTTGGCCTCGTATCTACCTACTTCTCTAAGTGAAATTTATACTATTTTATACAATTTAATTGCAATTGCTCTAAAGCTATGCATTGGATGCAGAAGAACAGTCCTAGTTTTGTTTGTTGTAACTTGTAGATTTTTAAATTATTTAATTTGCAAACATTTAGTTCTCATTCAGACACATGGTTTGTCCCTGTGTCAATTTGGGTATTCCTTTCTTTTTCCTCTAAAATATTTAAGGTTCTTTGTATAGGTCTCCCATATCTCTTATTGGGGCACATTCTATATGATTTATATTTTTGCTTATTTATGAAGAAGACATTTTTCATTAGATTTTTCTAGCTGATAAATAGTGGCATAGATGAATGCTGCTTGGTATTATACATGTTTCTTGTATAATATTAACATGGTACAGTGATTACTATGGTAATTAACTAGCATGATTACTATAACCAGAGTGATCACTTACTGTGCTAAACATTTGACAATATTTCATGTGATGCTCACAAGAACCCTGGGAGATAGGCCTTATTATACTCATTTTACAGATGAGGAAATTGAGACTTGGGGAGGTTAAGTTCAAATGGTTATTAATTGATGAAGTCAGGATTGGAACTCAGATGTGTCTAAGTCCAAAGACTCTTGACAACTTTGCAGAATGCCTTTCTTTTTCAAATTCACAATCTAACTATCTGTTATTTTTATCAAATTCACTATTTGTCTTAGTTGTGTGTGTGTGTGCATGTATTTCTCTTGTGTATCTATATATGTTTTATTATTTTGCAACATTCTCTAATATGATATTGGTGATAAGAACTTGCTTGTCTTGTTTTTAATGGATTTGTTCTTGTGTTTCTCTTTCAAGGATCATGTTGTGTCTGATTATTAAATGAATGCACTATTTTAATTTTTAATTATTTTGACTTCATATTTTATATTATAAAATAAAGATATAATAAAATATAAAATATAATAAAATATAAAATTTTAAATAAAATATAAAAATATGTAAAAATAAAGTATATTAATATTTTATGTTTTATATATTTCTTATATTTTATGCTTTCATTTTTTTAATTTTAAGAAAGTATTCTTGTCATCCAAGTTTCATGTTGAATTTTATTACATTGCCTTGGATATCTATTGAAAGAATAATTTATAGTATATAATTTAATATATTAATTAATAATTTTCCATATATAGCAATAAACCCTTGTGGACCTGGAATAAGAAGAGTTCTTATTATCTAGGTGAACAGAGATTACTTAGAGAGACACTTAAATATTCCATTTCATATTATGATAGCTTATATAAGGGAGAAGGATCTGGAGGTGCTGGAAAAGCCTTCCCTAGAAAAGTGACACTTGAGCAGATAGCTAAAGACTGAATGGAAGTTTATTAGGCAGAGAAGAAGAACATGCCAGGTAGAGGGAACAGCATGTGCTGAGCCTAAGGAGGAGGAAGAATGAATGGCTGAAGATCCCACAATGCTGGGGAGGTCAGCAGGGCTAACCACACAAGCCTTACAGGTCCTACTAAGGTTTCTAGTGCTCATCCTAAGCATAGAATGAATGAAACCGTTGAAGATGCTGAACTGGATTTGCATGTCACATATTCCTCTGGCTGCTTGTGGACAGTGGATTGAGCTGGGAGAGGGGTTCAGGAGTGCAGACAGAGGGACAAGATAGGCTTTTGAGATTCCCAGGGAACTGATAATGACAGCCGGGACAAGGCCCTCTCCGGGGTGGCCAGGGCCTGAGCCTTTTTCATCTCTGCACCCCCAGCATGCAGTCCAGAAACTGGCCCACAGTCAGACCTCCAAATGATTGAGACCTAAACATCTTGCAAGTGGTCCCTGTGAAGAGCACTGGTTGGATTGCTGGAGAGACCATATGCAGCAGGGAAAAGAGCTCCCCAGTCCTCAGAAACTGAAGGGTGGCCAAGGTTCTTAAGACTCCAGAATGTTCTGATAAGGATCTTCCCCCTCTCCCTAAGGAACAGCAAACAATCATCATAAGAGACACGAGTTTCCCCCATGAGATCATATGCACTGTTGTACTTACAGCCTGTTAAAGGGCCAGCCTTCCCAGCTCCCGGGGAGTGCTCCCAAAGCCTTTTGTCCTGGACACGAAGGAAATGAGGCTCTTTGATGAGGAAAAGGAGGTCACAGCTCTGCAGATATCAACCAAACCCACGTGGTTGCTCTCCACATCTCTAGCACTGTCCTATATACTGTGCAGCACAGAGTACAACATCCTACTTCGCTGGCAAGATAAGAGTTCCACAACCTTGATGATAGGAATTAAAATATATGCTAGGTTCCTGCTAGAATAAAGACCAGTATCACATAAAAACATTGTATCGGCTCAGTGAAGTAGGTACTATTATCATCATCCCCATTTTATAGATGAGTAAATGGAGGCACCTAGAGAATAAGAAACTTGTCTTATTCTATGTGGTGAGTGGTTGAAGCTAGAGCTCTTAACCGCACAGATCCTAAAAATGAGAGAAAATGGAGGGAAGGTGCATTTATTGAACTCCTACAATGATTAACTTTCCGTGTCAAAATTTGGTATTTATAGGAGTCAAATTCATTTATCTAATAATTTTACTTCT